AAATATGTTTTTATCAAGAATTATGTTCATGTTATTTATTAAAAGAAGGAAATATATTTAATTATTTTAATTATTTTATAAGAGGGAAGGAAGGACATCTTGGACATTTATTAAATTGTATTTTATTATTATTATTATTTAATTTATTAATTGATAAGTAATGGTTAGGAGAAGTTACAAGGGAGTTAAGTCATTTTTACGTAAACCATCCTGATTCTCATTTTTCTCTCTACTCATCAAGGTAAAGGAGAGTGAGAAACCTCACTCGGGGGTGTGAAAATTTTTGTTAGATAGTTGGATTGACCCCCAATCCCTTCCCTGATGTATGTGTATAGGAATAAATACTTTATAAAGGTTTTTTGTTTTGTTTTTTGATTATTCTATTGCGTTCCTTGTGTGATTATGAGTATGAATATGTGTCCAATTTCAATAATGGATATGTTTGGTAGCGGGATTGGCCTCAATCCCTTGCTTGATGCATGCTCTTAGAAACATGCACTTGGAAACCCTATGAGAAACATACAAATTTTGAATATTTTATGTTTTGGCTTATGAGTTTTCTGTTATGTTCCTTGATGATTACTAAGCGTGAATATGTGTTTAATTTTGAGTTTGGATATGTTTTGATATGGATTAGAGTGCTCTATGGGTTCCTACAGGAAACCCTATAAGAAACATGGAAATTTTGAATGTTTTCTGTTTTGGTTTTTGAGTTTTCTATTGTGTTCCTTGATGTTTGCAAAGTGTGAATATGTGTTTGATTTCAAAAACAGATTAATTTTGATATGAATTAGAGTGCTATGTGGATTCTTGTGTGAAACCCTACGAGGAACAATTAGGGACGTGATCGATCTTTTGATGAGAACCTTTATGTGCGTGACCTTATGGGATGATTATGAAGATGTGAAATGTGACAAGTGATATGAGATATGATGAGACATGATAAGTGAAATTTTGAGTCAATGAAATAGTGAATGTGTGACATGCATCATATGCATTTATAACTCTTGGTGTGCCGCTTAGGCCGCATGCCAGTGATATAATAAGTTATTCCAGGTGTGTCGCTTAGGCCACATGCCAGTGATGTATTAAACTATTCCAGGTGTACCTTGGGTCACCAGTGACGTATTGAGTTATTCCAGGTGTGTCGCTTAAGCCGCATGCCAGTGATGTATTGAGCTATTTTAGGTGTACCTTAGGTCACTAGTGATGTATTGATCTATTCTAGGTGTGTCGCTTATGCCACATGCCAGATATGTATTGAGCTATTCTAGGTGTACCTTGGGTCACCTGTGATGTATTTATGAATGAACGTGCCCCCAAGTATGTTGTTGTAGTAGCATACTAGTGATGAGAAATGTGCAACTTCCATATGGCACCACATGCATGCATTTAGGAGTCAAGTCCATAACATTATTGCATGATAAGTGAATGTGTATGTATTCTAATGTATCTATAACTTGAGAGTTGTGTTTGGTTATGTGTAGCTTGTGTGGTATTTGTTATGATTGTGTGTATGTTGCCTATTTATTTCTACATTTGAACCATAGTGAAATGTTTCCCACTTCCTTGTTTCTCTATGTGTATTTTTATGGTGTTGTAGGTGATCATCAACACGAGGATGTTGGTGATGAGGTTTAAGTCTCATTGTGGGGTGTACTTTGATAGGACATGTGACATCGATGTTTAGTTAGGATTGATTTAGAATGTTACTCTTGTTAAATTTCTTAGAAGACTTTGATTTTATTCTTTTGTAATTTTCGCATTGAACTATGATTTATGATTTATGAATGTAAGCTCTTTACCTTATGTGGTTAGAGACTTGAATTTTATTTATGAAAGATATTATTTATTTCTATTTATTGTATAATTATGTATGTGGGGTAGAGGGTGTCAGTCTTAGCCTGGATCCTTAAGACATTAGGTTTATGAATTTTTCTCACCTATATATATGTTACTCAACATACCACTACCCAATACTCATTTAAGTTAGTTACCTGTTTGAACTATCAACTATGGTACCAATTATTGGGAACACAAGGAGGGTTAAATACCAAGGAGATGTCAATAATGCATCATGAGAAAATTATACAAGTGAACTTGACATCACATTTTAACCTGAATCCTTAAGACATTAGGTTTATAAATTTTTCTCACCTATATATATGTTACTCAACATACCTAACTTATCCAAAACGGGACACTTATTCACATTTGTACACCAACAAAGCCCAGATGACAAATTCAAGGAACCTATAATATTGATGACTCGACAATACTATGCATGTGTATTAAACAAGATAACCTATTGTAGTAGTCCCCCATTGATTCTTTTTTTTTTCTATATACTTTTAAGCTTCACACATTGAGACCGTTGAATATTGAGTATCACCAAAGCTTCCATATCCACAATTCAATTCTATATTATAATGGTTATAGTATAAACCACTTACCAATTGTTGAAACAAGGATTGAATCCCAAAATCATAAAATTGAGATTCAAAATTACATAATTGGTATATTCAGGCACTTTAACTAAATTTCCCTCCCTTTTTTCATTATTCTTAAAAAAAACTATTTTGAACTAAACTATTGAAAACTGAACTCAATTACATTATTAAAAATTAAAGTATTTTTTTATTTGATCTATATATTTAAGTTTAGTTTTAAAAATCTAAAGTGTTTTAAAAATTGGTCCAATACACTTGAGTTATAAGAAGAAGACAAATTGTTACAATGACTTTTGCACAATTGATGTATTCAATCTTATATACATGGTGATTTTTATTATAATGACTAGTTTGCTGCATTCAAAATGAATACATCAATTATTAGATAAAAATATATTTAAGTTATGAGATAATGATCACATCAATTATTACGATTAAAGTATGAAAATTTTGTTTTACTAGCAAGGTACTTACATTTTGTTTGATTATTTAAAATGAAATTAAGTGTATGCATTTTATTACATATCATATCATTACTAAATTTGATTTAAATATGATTAGGTTAGGTTAATAAATCATTAAATCATTATTAATGAAATATATATGATTCAAATGAATGATTTGATTTAGTTTAAGATCGATTCAATTCAATTCAAAACATAAGAAAAAAAAATTATTTGAAGTATGTTTAGTATAATAGAAAGGAAGAGGAGGAAAGTGAGAAGAAGTCACCATTTATCGTTTTTTGTGCAATAGAAAGAGAGGAAAATAAGAAGGAAAAGGAAAGAAGTTCATGCATAAAAATCTATTTACAAAAATTGTAAAGAAATGTGAAGAAATACCATGCACATGTATATATATTTGATTATGTTGAGTAATTTAATAATATATATATATATATATATAATTAAAAATTAAAATAATAATATTGAATTATTATTATTATTATTATTTCTTCCCTTATTTTTCAAACTAAATAACCTCTTAAAAATTGACATATTCTCTTCTACATCCTTTCAACCAAACAATCTTATTTTCAAGTTATTTTTTTACATATTTTTCTCTCATTCACTTATCTACTTTTCTCTTTATTTCTTTCGTCTCTTCAAAATACAATATTAGATTACAAAAATCAGTTCAATTTAGTATAAAACATAATACAATTGAAACTTTTAGAATGTAATAAGTTGAACTAAAAAAAGGTCAGTTTGGTTTATATAACTATTTAAGTTCAAGTGAAGTATTTTTATGATTAAGTTTAATTTTCATATAATTCAAGTTAGTTCAACCCTTTTAAAACTCGTTTACTATTTCCCCCTCCACCTGCGACGAGAATTGGTTTACATTCTCTTTCCCTTCTCTCAATTTTCCAGAATTATTGCTATGGAACAACAATTTTTTGTACCAATGAGTTACAAAACAATGTGATTGTATGCCATTGTTTAAATAATAAATTATACGATAAAAAGAAAAAGATTTGACGCAGATCATGTCAGTGTTAGATACATTTTTGTCCAAAGAAAAAAATTCAAACTATCTAATAATTTTCTTTTCATTCTCATCCTCGCCCTTATTTTTTCTTGGCATGAATTTTATTTCCTATGTTTGACAGGCAAACGAATAATATCTTCACACAACAGATTAAAATATTCTGATACAATCTCTATTATCAATAGATAAATTTCCTTATAGGAACAATAAAGGATTTTAGTTTGCATCCAAGGTAGAAGGCAATTGCAGTTGCTATCAAACATAAATAGGAAACAAAATTTATTCTCAAAAAACATTCCATTAACTATTAAATCCAATAATTAATAAAGCAAATAGGAGCAGGATATAATCAACCTTGGGAACTAATAAAAGTTACCAAGTAGAAATATAAAGTACTCCACATGCTGGCTTTTAATGCTGAAGTTGCCATCGATTTTTCTTAAATGAGTAAGATCCAATTGCTATATTTTCTTCAATGGAAGTGGTTAACTCTAAAGTTGAGCTTTGGAGACAGACTTTCGAATAAGAGCGTTTTCTTTTTTAATATATTTTTTATATTTTTTTATTTTATTTTGGTCAAGTAGGAATAAGACAACTGCAATGCAAATTTAGAGGGGAAAAAAACACGAGAAAAATGGCTTAGAGGTAAAAAAACACAGGGAAAGATGTCATACACCATATATTTCTAAATTCAAATATCTTGAATCTATATTACAAAATGATGAGGAAATTAATGAGATGTCACAAACGATATAAGATACTGGATGGATGGTTAATGGAGAAAGTCATTTGAAGTTGTTTGTGGGTGGAACTTAACTCTAGAAGTTCTTAGGATATCCCTTCAAATAAGCCTTTAGAGTTTGGATTCTATATGGCTTAATGCACATGGTCTTTTCCAGATATTTGGTTTACCTTACTTTCTTCTTTTCTTTTATATCCTCCTTATGTATTCTTTTTGTTGGTCTTAATAAATCTCTTTTAAAGAAAAATAACAATAAATAAGAGGAGATCAAAATTATACAGCTTCTAGATAAAGATCAGGACAGAATAGAAAATATATAACATTGAAAATCTAATATTCCATAATAAAATATTAAAGTTATTTCAGGCACCCAGTATTTAAATATAGGCAACAGAGCTTCAGTTAAGCCTAATCACTAACTAATCTCTGTGCACCAACCACTGGATTTTTCAAATTCTCTAGGGGTCTCATTCTATCCTAAGTTTCCCCATCAAATTTGTATACTTTAAACTAAATAAAAACAGCTCATCAAATATAGCTGGTAAAAAAAAAGGAGCATCATGCATGTATTGTCTTTGATTCTTTTCGCTTTAGTTCTAAAGCCATGCGTTCATTCTCAAGCTTCATTCTTTCATTCTCCAGCTTTATAGACTCCAACTCCCGGTTTTTTTTTATACTAAACTTCTGCCACAAGAATCTTTGTTTCTCTAGCTCCAAAAACTCAGCCTGAATTTGTAGCTTCTTCTCCTCCAACTGAAGAGCACGAGGTTCAACCGATTGCTTCTGTGACAAAGCTGCTTTCATGTTTTCAGGTAAAGCTTGACTCACATCAGATTGGACCATCTGAGGAAATGAACTTTTATTATGCTCTAGACTGTTTAAAGCACTCCCAAAAGTAGCAGCAGAATCTTCTTGCCCTTGGCCTGGTTTTAATCTCTTCAAAGATCCTCTATTATTAGCATAGTTCTCATCAAAGTCATCAAGGTCATCGGTTTCCTCATCTTCATCATGAGAGGACTTTCTGACATCATCATTGTCCTGATCATCTCTATTTCGGAGAGCAACCTGCAATGACCTTTGCAATGCAGGATCATGAGGCAAATGCAATCTATTACCATTATGGTAAGAACACATCTCTTCATAGAACAAGTGTCTTGAGTTCAGTATTTTTCGAACATCATCCTTGTCTTTCTCAGAAAGATAATCTATCACATCCAACAGACCAGGGTTTTCAACAACCTGACAAGTGGTTCCCCTCCCAAGCATATCATTAAGCTTTTTGTACCTCTTGTTAAGATCATTGAACTTATCCTCACACTGCTGAGGTGAAACATGATGACCCCTTTCAGCCATGGCTTTGGAAACAGATCTCCACTTCCCCTTCTTCTGCAGGGCTGTAAATTTTCTCCTTGCAATGCCACCGCCACCGCCATCTGAAGCTGCATCCTCACCTATGTAAGAAAGAGCTGTTATCAGAAGCTTCACCATCTTATCAGTCCACTTCACTCGCTGCCAAGGCGATGGCTTTTTCGCTCTAGCCGCTTCTTGGTGACCATCAACACCTTCCTCAGCAAAACTTGGCTCCTCTTCATCACTTGGTGAGTTTTTGTTTCTGTCTCCTTGACTGAAATCGGTCAGTGACGGTGTCTGATTCTGATCACACTTCTGAAAGGTTCCCATCGTGAGTGGAAAACCATCCTGAAATGAGGATTGCACCGAAGAGCCTAGGCAAGGATGAGTTTGATGCTGGTTCATGGAATGAGGATGCTGCTGCGCTTGCTGCAGATGAACCCGAATTGAATTGGGCAAATCAAAACCACCGAAAGAGGCCCCTCCTTGAATCATACCTCCCTGTGACAAATTCCCTTCCATTGCTTCTCACAAACAACAAAAACACATCAGAAGAATGAACCCATTCCACCTCCAATCCTAGTTCACATTCACAAAACAAACACATCAAAATCATGCAAATCCATGTCCATTCAATCTTCAGAGTTTCAACACCTTTTTCAGAAACCTCAACTATCGAGAAATTATTAGATGATCCGGTATAACATGGTTTCTAACTAGTCTCAGCATGTTATTCAATCGAGTGTGATTAATTTTTTTTCGTGAACTGAAAAACTTAAATGCATGTCATGTACTGATTAGTTGGGACCATAGACACTCATAGTCTTGTACTACCTAATAATTTCTCTTCCCGTTAGTTTCTCTATTATTCAAGCCAAAACAGCACCAAAATCAAATTAAAACCATTCTTCAACGTTCTTCAATAATCATTTCAATTCATACACCGGCATTCCCAACCCACAAACATAAAACTCACAACACAACACAACAGAGGGACCCACCAAAGTGCTAAACCACCCCAGCAGCAATCACAAACCAAAATGCTCAATAAAGAATCAAAACAAAAGCCAAAATCCTTTTAGAGGCTCACCAGTGAGGAAACTCAGCAACTACTCTGATGAAAATCTGCACAAAATCTGACACCCCCAAAAGCCAAGATTGAACCTTTTCCTCGAAATGAAACACCAACAGAAAACACAAACAGAAAACAGCAGATCCTCCTCAGTCACTACTAACTGAGGAGTGAAGAAAGTACTGCAACAAAACAAAGGCAAAAGAAGAAGAAAAAATAAAAAGACCGAAGCACTAAAGACAAGGGTGGATTTGTGGTGTGAGCTAGTTACTATGTGACACGCTATATATACACGCTAAGATACTAAGGAACAACAGCGGCAGACCGTGATGGTTCAATGTATGAAAAAAATGGCGTGGACCAACCCGAGTATTTTATTGTTTTTCACAATAAAGAAAGCACCATTTAATATAGTTAATAGTTAATAAAATAAAGAGGAGCATTTAATATTTAGTAAAAGAGAGGGAAGCATTTAGTATTTGAATTTAAAAAGGAAGTATTTAATATATTTAATAATAAAAAAAGAGGAGTAATTAATATTTAGTGATAAAAAAGGAGGAGCAATTAATATCGAAATATAAAAACTGATTATTTCCTAGTAGTCTTTTATTCATATCTTGAGTGCTACTACAGGTGACAAGTGTATCTAAAAGAATTTGATTTTGTTTAAGGTAAACTTTTATAAAAATCAATAATTTTACTTTATAGAAATATATATAATTAGATGATAGTGTAAATTTTTTTAATATTATTAGTGTATCTAAATTTAGTAAAAAAGTTAAGATAATTATCAATTTTCCAATTATAATTTTATCTTTGCTTATTTTTCTCTTTACATTTTGTTCAATTCAAATCAAAATAGTTCATGTTGAATTTTTTTCTCCTCACTTTTTGAGAGTAAAATTAAAATTAAAATTTTTTATTTCATAATATTAATGATAGGTTTCGAATTTAGGACCCTACACATACTATTCATCCCTTCACTTCTAAGCTAACAATTAAAAATTTAATTTTTCTATTAATTGAATAATTAAATTATTTATTAAAATGTTTAAACGTTAGTACACTTTTATTAGTTTCAATTTAAAATTTTATAAAAGTTACAATAATAAAAATAGTTAATAATAGTTTGTAAATCATTGATGAATTTGAAAAAATAATTTTTTTATAAAATTAATATTTTACTTTAAAATTAAAAATTCAATTTTATCATTGATTAATAATTAAATTATTTTTAACAAATTTAAACATAAGTATAATTTATTAATGTCAGTTAAAAAATTATGAAAATTACAATAATAAAAATAGTTAATAATATTTTCTAAATCATTCATGTATTTAGAAAAATAACTTCTTTTTTATATAAAAATTAATATTTTACTTTAGTTTTTACATTTATAATAGTTTTAATTTTTATTTTAAAATAATTAAAAATACAAAAATGAAGTTCTAGAAAAGCAAAGCATTAATCTCCTACAGGAGTTGCTTATATTAGCAACTATTCTTTGTGAATGGCCAATATTTTTTTAAAATTATATAATTGTGTTATAATTTTATATTTTTTAAAAATTTATTAATGTCAGTTAAAAAATTATGAAAATTACAATAATAAAAATAGTTAATAATATTTTCTAAATCATTCATGTATTTAGAAAAATAACTTCTTTTTTATATAAAAATTAATATTTTACTTTAGTTTTTACATTTATAATAGTTTTAATTTTTATTTTAAAATAATTAAAAATACAAAAATGAAGTTCTAGAAAAGCAAAGCATTAATCTCCTACAGGAGTTGCTTATATTAGCAACTATTCTTTGTGAATGGCCAATATTTTTTTAAAATTATATAATTGTGTTATAATTTTATATTTTTTAAAAATAAATTAAAATTATCATATTTTATATATTTTTATTTTATAAAATATAAAGTGATACAATTATAATATATTGTTATCTTTATTGTTAAATTTTTATGTATTACATTTACAAAATTATAAATTATATTTTTTATCTTTCTAAAATTTTTCAAGTTTGATTCTAATTTCCCAATTTATTTTTTTTCTTGTTTTTATCCTTTTAATTTGAGATGTATTACTTTTGATTCTTTAAGTTATTCATATAATATGTTATAATAAATTATTGTATAAAAATAAATTGAATAAGAATATATTAGTGTATCTATTTTAGATTTGTTAACATTATTATTTCTTTAATGTAATAAAACATGTTATATTCGATTAAAATTTTAATATATTATTTGATCTATGAAGTTTTTGAAAAATTTTATTAGGTCTCTAAACTGGAAAAAAAATTGTAATCAAAAGTTATTCGTCCTTTTTTTTGTAATTTATTCCTTTGGGTTAAAGATTTATTTACATTTTGTGAAATATGACATATTTTTATATTTATAGAGTCACCTCAAATTATTATCATATATTATTGTACATGTCTAACAAATTTTAATCTACTTATAAAAATTTTCATAGTCTCTTTGGCCATAATAATTCTAGAATAGTAAAAAAAAATTAACCGGTGGAGTTTAAAACCTAATACAAATAAATGTTGATATTAAATGGTAATTTAATATAGTTGTCTGAGTATAATGAAATAAAAATAAAATATTATTTTAAATTATATATCATGGATTATAAACTAATATATGATCATAGGTACTAAATTATAAAAATATGAAATACCAAATTATAATTTTTTTAATTTAAGATCTAATTAAAAATTTTCAAAAGAATTTATGAACTAAATGATATATTAAGTTTTAATTAAATCATATATCTATTTTTATATTATACATATTTACATTTCAAATATTATTGCTAATATATAAAGGCTCAAACTTATTGTTTCGCTTGGGGCCCATGAAATATTAGGATTGACCCTGTATGTAAGTTACTTAATATTTGTGTGTATGCATCAAAGAATACGAGAAATTAAAGAGAGAGAAAACTTATTTGTTAGTTAAGTAACTTTTTAACACGTACTTGCATTGGAGTGAGAATTGAATGGGTTGCTAATGGAGGACATCACACATGCCAATCACAGGGAGCTCACACATGAGGACCATTGGGCCTTTAACTAATTCCATGATCAAGAGGTTAGAGGAGGCTTCTACAAAGGAAGTGCTTCTTAGACCTATGCTCTACATGAGTATTGAGTATGATTCCTCTTATTAGTCTCTTAGTCTCCATTATAAATACATTGTATAGTACTTGTACATAGTAGTAGATACTTGTCTAAATATATTTTTGCTTTTGTATTTGTGAGACACCTTTTTCTTACTCTGTAGATCATACCCTTAGGATTCTAGGGTATGTTACTTAGAGATTTTTGCTCCATTTGACCTTGTATTAAGGGTCATTGATTTTCTTATTTTTAGTATTAGAAGTGGGGTGCCAAATAAAAAGTATGTAGGTGAAGCTAGTAATTGAGCCTTTAGTGGGTCTGGGCCAAATTTTGCATATTAGGCTTGTTTTCTTTTATTTAATCCAAGGAATTGATTTAGCTGGGTCTCACCACCATTTGGTGAACCTAACCAAACCAATTCCATAATTTTTGGATTGGTTTAGATTGAAGAAAACAAGTTTGGCTGCCTAGCTCATCCATGGCCGAGTTTCACTTAGCTTATCCCACACACTTGTTTCTTGGTTAGCCAAGGAGACAAGGTGGCACTTGGCAAGCTAGGATTGACTAATCTAGATCTAAGTGTTCCTACCTTGTCCCTACCTTGTCTAACTTGCTCAACAAGCTACTCCACCTCCATATATAGGTTTCTTCACTTGTAACTTCATTTTTTGGATGATGTATTTGAGAGTTGCCAAGATTTTACTATGAATTCTCTCTTTCAAAAGTCTTGAAATCTCTTTGATTTGGTTCTAATTCTCTTATCCTCTTCCTAAAGAGTGTGGTGAGAATTGAAGTGGTTCATCTTCTTCTAAGGAGTGACATCACTTGAAGAAAATTCTTCACCTCTTAAGGTGAAACTAGAGGCTTTTACCTCCATTAGAGGCCTTGAAGAAGCTTGAGAAGTGTCAAGAAATCAAAGGTCTAGGGAGGAACTTGAAGGAGAAGCCAAAGTCATTCAGATTCTCCAAGAGTTTTCCATCAGTTGCTTAGAATTATGGTGACATATGTAGACTCATAAAGTGGGTTGCTTATCTGAAAAGCATTGAATATGCTTTTAAAACATTTCAAATGAGTTGCTTATGGGTCACTTAACAATAAAATGTTATTTTAGTATACTACATGTGATTTTAAAATTTAAGAGAGTTACTTATATAAACAATTATTCTTTGTGAGTTGTATGTACCTGTAGGAGAGAGAAAATAAGAGATTCAAAGAGAGAAAGTATATTTGTGAATTAAGCAATTTTTTTACATGGGAACTTGCATTTGCATGGAGTTAAATGGATTACTTAAAGAGAAAAAATGAGTTACTTATTTGAAGAGCATTGAAGATGATCTTAAGGCTTGTTTTGGTAAAATTCTCTAAAAACACTTTTGAGAGAGAAAAATAAAAAGAAAAAAAATGAAATAAACTTCTCAATAAATTACGAAACAATTTATTTCCAATTTTCTTCCTATTTTTGTTTCCTAAAAGTACTTTTGAAGAAATTTATGTAAACATGTCCTTAGTTAGACGTAAATCTTAATGACCTATATAATATGAATTGTTATTGTCTTTGATAATTATTTTATATTATTTTATGTTACTTTTATAAATAGATTGAAATAATTATCTCCTATTGAATTTTTTTTATTATCTAAATTAAAGTATGATATATGATTATAAAGTATTGTTATATTAATTATTATTTTTTTATGTATTATATTTTTAAATTTATATTAAACAATTTTTTAGCTCATAATGACATGCAATGAAATGTGGGCATATGATAATGCTACATTTAAATTTTCTTTTAAATAAATAAGAAACACTAACTAAAATTAAAATTATAAAGAATCTTAATTTATACTATAAATTTAAAATCTCTAACTTAATTAAACTCCCACTCATCCTACTTTCTCATTTAGAGATTTTCAATGCATTTTTTCTTTTCTTTGGGAGCTTCATTCTAATTATATATAATTTCACTATAATCACCATCATTGCAAAGGTACTACTTTTTCTATGTTTCTTTTACCTCACTACTAGAAAATTGTAAAATAGCGACCGAAATTTATCAGTCGCTATTTAGCGACCGATTATGAATAATCAAAATAGCGACCGGTTTAGTGAAATGTATTACTTTTTCTTCTTTTTTTCCCTCTACCTTTTATATTACATATTTAC